TTATTAATCTAATAATAAGCTTATATAAGCTTTTATTAAAGTAAGCTAAAGAGAAGTAAGTAACGTATTAGTTAAGTAATTTAATTAATTAAGGTTTATAATATTTTAAAGCTTATTAGCTTAAGCTTAACCCTTTAATACTTTATATTAATTATACTATTAACTTAAAAGCTTTAACTTAAGCTTAATAAATAATTAAGTGTTTATAAAAGTAATATTAATATTTATTAAATACGTAAATATAATAAAATAAGTATTAAAATAATACCTTAAATACTTAATTTTCTTAAGTAAAAGTTATAAGAAATTTAAAGTTCTCTTAAGCTTATAATTATTATACTTTAAAGAGTATTAATTATAATAATAATATATATATATAAGTTTATATTTAATTATAAAAGAGAGAATTATATACACTCTTTTTATAAGTGCGCTTATTATTAAGGTTATTTACTCGTGGTTAAGGGTTTACCCTTATTTAATTGTGCGTACGTAATTTATACCCGTAACAAGTGACCCATTCTAATAGTTTCGGAAGGGGCCGGTGGCGGGCTGCATGTGGGCTCGTGTCAACTGGTGTGTGTGTGTGTAGATCAGATAACAGGCTGCCGAATTCATCGTACGTAAAGCTCGACGCGGCCCGGCTGATACTGGCGTGGTATCGGCCAGACGAGCCGTCACATCAAATGGCGCGGCGGGCTTGCCAAAGGGCAAGATGACATTGGCCGCTCTTTGGCCGACGAACGCTCTTTGGCCGACGAAGTTATGTGATTGGCGTCCCTTTTTTATTTTATTTTTTAATCGTCAATTTTAATTATTATTTTTTTTTTTTTTCAACACGACATTCGTACATTAGAAGAACAACCCCCCCCCCCCCCCCCCCCCCCCACTGCTCGTCCTCGGCGTCCATATTTCAAAGTCGAAGCGCGTGACCTCTTCGTTAAACGGCCACAAGTACGTGCTGGTCACCCTGCTATCGTCAGCTCATACATCCCAGCATTGAGTCAGCCATGCCGTCTTGCCTGTGATGCTCGTCACTCGCTTGGTATCTGCAAACGCATGTTAGCGATTTAAAGCCGTCCCCTCAATTCGTTTTAAAAAAAAAAAAACTCTGCTAAAGCCTCCTTGCTCCCGTGATAGCTCACCAGGGCCAAGTGATAGCCTCGGCTCCGCTCAACGGGATCCGTGACGGAAGGGCCGCCCACCACCAGCCGTTTGTTCAGGACGCTTGGCAGGTCCCGGAGCCGCTTGAGCTCCGTGGCAAAGGCCTCCTTGTGCTCCGATGAGACATTGGCTTTGAACTTGAACAGGACTGCTCACTTGTTAGGCATGGAGCTGGGGGTGGGGAGTTGGATAAGCAGCCTTACCAATATAAACGAGCACCGTTTTTTTTCTTTTGGCTTGTTGATATGCACTGGCGACCAAGGCAATGGCGCCAATGGCGGGTGGTATAAATCGCCCGTTTGGTTATTTGGTGCCGCGGCGTTGCTCCGTTGCCCGGACCCGCTGCGGCGTTTGGCCGGCGCCGAAGTTGGGGCCGGGGTTGACCGCCCATGCCCGTGAGATACAAGACGTGTGGTGAGCAAACACCTTGCATCTTGTATGGTGCTCATCTCATGTTTCTGCGTGTCACGGGGTCAAAAAAAAAAAAAGCCAAGCCTTGTTCTGTCCCATTGGGGATTTTTTACAATGCGTGCCTGCAATGTAAAACCAGATTCAGGTTGCAATTATATACATGTATATATGATGACTTGTGCCATTTGAAATGATTCTACAACACTTGCTTCCAACGTAAACCCAGATTTAGGGTGCAGCAAACATCACAACTTTGTACTCTTTGAAATGACGCGTCTCCATATCTTCATACGTAGACATGGCGGCTACCTACTGGCCCTGCATGATTTGCCAATACCGCCAGCCACCTCTACTCATCCATAAACACAAGCGGGTTCGCAGACACCCTGTCCGCCTCGGAATTCAAGGCGTCAATCTCAGCCTGCACCAACGGGATTCCCGTCCTCTCCCTCTCCACCTGCGTACGCTGCTCAATCTCTCCGGGAAAGTAGATTCTGTCCACGCCCGCCGCCTTTTCCGCCCCCACGACCCTCTCATACAAGTACTTCATCCGGCCCCTAAACTCGTCCAGGCTCATGAACAGATCCGGTTTGACGGCGACCAGGAAGTGCCCGACGTCCGCTGGCTTGGACGGGTCATACGGGCCCGTGACATGCCCTGCAAATGCCGAGCCGGACAAGACTCCCGAAAAGACGTCCATCATGATGGACAAGGCCGAGCCTTTTGGTCCTCCCATGGGCAGCATGACGCCCCCCAGCGCCGCCCCGGGGTCGTCTGTCGGCCTTCCCTCGGCGTCGAGCGCCCAGTCCGGCGGGATCCTTTCCCCCCGACGCTTTGCCTTGTATATTTTGCCCCGGGCCGCCACCGAGGGGGCCATGTCGAGGATAAAGTCTGGGTCACCGGGTGCTCCGCACGCAATCGGCGAGACGCCCAGGAGTTTGCTTCTGCCGCCAAACGGCGGGAGCGCAGGGCTCGAGTTTGTAAACACCAGGCTCATCATGCCTGCGTCGAGGGCCTGCTGGACCACCCAGGCCGACATGCCAAAGTGGTTGGAGTGCTTGACGCTCGCCATTCCAATGCCGTACATCTTGGCTGATTCAACGGCGGCGCCCATGGCAACGTGCGTCGACACGAAGCCGAATCCGTTGGGGGCGTCTGCGCT